ACCCATGGTCTAATGCAGACGGAAGAGGCATTTTTGGTGCCCCTGTCTTCCAGAAGGGAAACAGGCCCAAATTGGGGAGGGGCAGGTAGGCCCAGGAGACTGTGAGCCAGGCTCAGAGCCCGTGGTCCATCCCACAGTTGCCAGCTCCAAGGTGCCCAGCAGTGAGAGTGCCCAGCCATCCGAGGGCCTGGGCAAGGCAGAACCCAGCCGGGCCAAATCTCGCCTCCTGCCCAACATGCCAAAGCTGGTCATCCCCTCAGCTGCCACCAAGTTCCCCCCTGAGATCACTGTCACACCACCCACCCCAACCCTGCTCTCACCCAAAGGCAGCATCTCGGAGGAGACCAAGCAGAAGCTGAAGGTAACCGAGGGTGCTGGGCATGGGGCATGGGTGGGGGCTCAGGCTCCAGGGGCCTGGGGCCAGGCCAGGCTGCCCTGACCAGTGCCCTGCCCTGTCTGCAGTCAGCCATCCTGTCTGCCCAGTCGGCTGCCACGGTGAGGAAGGAGAGCCTGTGCCAGCCGGCTCTGGAGGTCCTGGAGACATCAAGCCAAGAATCCTCGCTGGAGAGTGACACAGATGAAGACGATGACTACATGGACATCTGAGGGCCAGAGCCCCAGCCACTCCAGGGGCCCATAAAGCCCCCCAGCTGCCCAGCCTCCCTCCTGTGTGGCATCCTCCCTGCCCACCTGGGTTGGGGCTGTCCCCACTGAGTGGGGCAGAGGAGGCCGAGCTTAGCCACGTGAAAATGGACGGATTATGGGTCGAAGTCTGTGCAGGCCGGCATCCTTTTCTACGAAATGCTGACTTTGTAAATGTGCTCGAGCGCAGCCCAGGGGGCCATGTCCACACCTGATGCCCAGACAAGCCTGACAAGCCAGGCTCTGCCTGTGTCACAGTGGAGAGGTCATTTAGGGTCAGGCTCACCCCACTCCCTTTTTTGGTTTCTTTTCTAATAAAGATGGAACAGTTCTTTTTGCCTCTTTGTTCACCCCTTGGGGTTTCCCTCAGCCAATTGCTGTCTAGAGTTTCTGGGGTCCTCCTCCCATAGGTCTGGGTGCAGCCCTCAGGTACCCCAGGGAGCAGGGTACTCAGTTGGGATGAGATAAACCCAGGCCCGGGAGCCAAGCAGGGCAGATCCCTGTGGATGAGACGTGGGAGGGATGTCCGGAGCGTCCCCTGAAGGACAGAGGTGTGAGGGCTAGTCCCTCTCGAGTGGGGATGGGGGGAGGCTGCAGGGGGTAGGCAGGGTCCAGGCTGTGCTGAGGAGCTTGCTTGCACCCCAATGTGGTGGGGGCCCTAGGGGATCCTGAGGGGCAGAGTCTGTATCAGGAAGGGTGAGCTGTGGGGAGGGGATGATGGGGCTGGAGAGAAGGGTGTTTACTTCCCACCACACTTGCCCTCTAACAGAACCAGCCACACAAGGTGTGGGGCTCAGTGCAAGAAAAAAAGGTGGGCCCCTTGTTAAAAAATTAAGATTTTTTTGCCCTGGCTGGGTGGCTGTTAATTGGAGCATCATGCCATACACCAAAAGGTTGCAGGTTTGATTCCCAGTCAGGGCAGGTGCCTAGGTTGTGGGTTCATTCCCTGGTAGGGGTGTTTACAAGAGACAACCAATTGATGTTTCTCACATCAGTGTTTCTCTCTCTCCCCCTTCCTCTCTCTAAAACATATCCTTGGATGAAGATTTAAAAAAAATTAAGAATTTTTAAAGGTGACAGCAGAGTGTTTAGCCAGCCTGCCATGCTGGCTGGCCCTGCCCTCGCAGGCCTCAAGCCCGTCTGTTTTGAGGGGCCGCGGTTTAAGCCCCATGCATCCCTTCTCTATACTGTCCACCCCCACTGGGGCCTAGCTGCCTTCACAGCTCTGGGCTGGCTCTGCCCCCTGGGCCTCCCGGGAAAGGCTCTGTCCAGAATGGAGACCCCACACGACACTCCCAGCTTCTTGAACTCCCATTCTCTGAATACATGCAGCTAGAGTGCCCAGGCTAGAAAGAGAAAATGGCAACCTTCCTTTCTCCTAGTCAACAGACCTGTTTCCTGGGAACAACCTGGCCGCTTCCCAGGGCCTTTTCTAGCTGCACAACACCTCAGGCCGCTCCAGGAGCATTCCTACCATCCTTCTTCCCTAACCTGTGCCCAAGGAAGCACCCTTGACCCTGGGATGAGTCAGCACCAGCCCCCAGGCTGGGTGTCCAGGCTGCTTCCTGGGCAGGGCGTCAGTGCCCACACCCACTGCTGGTCACCAGAAAGGGAACCTGGCCCTGAGTGGGTCTGCCTCGGGCGAGTCTGTAGTGTGTGGGTTCTTGACTTCCTCCAGGAAAGATTTCACAGTACAAGTCCAGGTGATTTTGAGGGTACCTTGATTAAAGCTGGGGACAGTGAAACAAGGAAGGGCTTAGCATATAAGAAGCAACAGGAGAGCCCTAACCGGTTTTGCTCAGTGGTTAGAGAGTCGGCCCATGGACTGAAGAGTCCCAGTTCGATTCCAACCAAGGGTACATACCTTCGTTGCAGGTTCACCCCTGGCTCCGGTTGGGAGGAAACCAGTCAATGTGTATGTGTGTGTGTGTCTCTCTCTCTGAAAAGCAATGGAAAAACTACCCTCAGGTGAGGATTTTTAAAAAAGCAACAGGAGAGACCTAGGCTGGGCTGCTTTAGCTCACTGGGAAGTGAGAAAAAGTGGACTTGGAGACCGGTTCAGGGAGTTAACCCAGGACAAGCTGCTGCTGCCCATTGCTCCCCTGGTTGCAAGTCCCTGGAGACCCTTAGAGTTTAGGAGATGCACCCCTCTGGGGGAAGAAGAGGGGGAAGGAAAGGTGTGAGCATGCTCCCAGGAGCTGGGTCCTTTGAGTTTTTAGTGGGTTTTGTTATTCCTCACCTGAGGATATTTTTTCCATTGATTATCAGAGAAGAGAATAGAAGGGAAAGAGGGAGGGAGGGAGGGAAAAAGAGTGAGCAAGAAACATCAATGTGAGAGAGACACATAGATTGGTTGCCTCCCTCACACACCCTGACCAGAGCCAGGTATCAAACCTGCAACCCAGGTATATGCCCTTGGCTGGTGATCAAACCCGAGACCCTTCCATGAGCGGGCCGACGCTCTAACCACGGAGCCACACTGATCAGGGGTGTTTTGAGAGTTTTTTAAAGACTAGTTTAGGGGGAGATTTCAATAGAATATGTATCAGCTTTCTAGGTGTGCCCCTTTAGGGTCACGGTCTCTACTGATTGGTCAGCACCAGGGCAGGTGGTCATTAATAACTGCAACTGGTCCTGGCATCACCCACCTAGTTTTGCTGCTTTTCTGGGCCTGGAACTGAAATAACTGATGTCTAGATGTTATCTCTAAAGAGGAAAGGTCATGGGTGTCTAAACCAAATGACCAGTGATATGAAAGGTCAGGGGGTCTATCTGTCTCAGTTTCCCCATTTCCACTTGCCAAGGAGTTTTCCTAGCTTCTTACTAACCTGTCTCATCCCTGCAAGAGGTGCCCCAAGCACCCAGCAACCAAGTTGGGAGTTGTGTTCCCAACTCCCCAGACTGGCTTCCCTGATGCTTGTTGGTGCCACCTCTCTGGAGCAACAGCACCCACCATCCGAGAGGGGTGGTGCCCAGGGAACAGGCTGGCGAGAC